TCTGCTTCCTGTTGTACGTCGCGGATGTGGCCAAGGTGAAGGTGACAATGCAAGGGATGAATGCGGAGGATGAGGCGGGTGGGAACACGTGGTGTACGCCGGGTATGACGGATGTCGCTTCGTTGCGGCTGGATGCTCCTGACATGCGTTCTAACGAAATCTTCCGTCTTGCTCTCATCCTTATGCCATGTAGTCATGCGTCTGTGGGTTCTGCCGTGCGAGCTCACCAGGCCGCTTTGCGCTACTTGGAACAGCGGCTACGTGCGGATGGGCGATTTGACTGCTCTTTGCATGCTTCCTGCTTTGGGATGGTGCTATTCCGCTGGCTTACGCTCGCGGATGAAGAGACGGCGGGCCTCATGCAACGGTGGAGCGACGTTATTGCCTCGTCTTCCGCAATGAACGAAGCCGGAGGCCACCGCTACCCGCACCGTGTCTCGCTAGGCCTCACGCAGGTCCAGCGGCGGGTTTACATCTGCGTTGCTCTTGCCGCAGACGGTGATGATGGTGATGCGTGTGTGAGCCGGTGTGACGTGGACGCGCTTGTGGATTTGCTGAAAAAAGCTGCCGATGAGTGGAGCGACATGTCGTCCTCCGTGACGTCCGCGATATCATCGAAATCGAAAACATGAGACGTTGTGAGGCGACATTAGCGTTTCTGAGGGTATGCGATAGTGGTGTTAGGTATTCATATTATATATATACATATAAAAATACTTACTTCCCTGACCATTCTATTGTTTATTTTTTTTTGGAATGGAAGCGTCAAGATATGAGCTTTGAATGGAATGTAAAGTGGAGGCTGCGTACTGTTTTTTTTTTTTTTCTTCATCTTATTTTCTTCCTGTTGATTTCTTTTACTTTTAGGGTATTTTTACATGAGCCGAATTTCACCACCACTTTCCTCCGCAGTTTTTTCTCCTGCCGTGGCGTCTTCTTCGTCGTTTCGTGTGGCCACGAAGTCTGCAGAGGTCTCGTCGTGCGCTCTGCGCTCTCGACGCAGTTTCTCTCTTAGTGGTCTCCATGATGTCGGCGGTGGTTGTTGGAGGTGGCGTTTGACGTCCCTGGCGAGGATCCGCCACTTATCATCGAGGAGCCTCTGCCTGCATCACAGCGGGGGCGCGCTGAATAAGTTTGACGCGGTTGGATTTGCCGGGCGCTCGCGGAATGTCGCCAACGCCTTTGATTCACTAGAAATGAATCTGTTTGATGATCCCACGGGCGGGCTGACGGCGGGACCCGCAGAGGAGTTGTCGACCACCGAGATTGAACACCAGGTGCGTCTAAACGTCTCTTCCTACTCCCGCTCCATATTCTACCTCCTGTACACGCCCTTCGTGGATGTAATATCGGTGCTGCTGGAGCGTGGGCTTGCGCCGGATGTCGCACACCCGGGAGAAATGATGTGCCGTTGGTTTACGGACGGCGCTTTGACGCTGCAGAACCCTGCTTCCGTTGAAGAGGGAATGGGAGCAGAGAACTGGCGGCAGTTGTGTGAGGGACTTGATGCCTTCTACGAAGAAGTGGAGCCGGTTATGCCGCTGACGGCGGCGGTGCGGAAACACGGGCTGCCGGAGGACTTGTTGGTGCCGTTTCTCCGTCAGCTCTCAATGGACCTGCTGGTGCCTCTGCGCAAGCGGGCCGTGCTGGAGATTCTGCCCGGTCTCATTCTTGGGCTAGCGAATGGCCGCGCCCCGACTGCATTGGGGTTTCCCACCGACAGCCAGCGTGCACGAGCCATCATGGTGGCCGATCTCTTTCTTGGGGTTGGGCAGGAAACAGGCAACACAGACCTGGCGTATCTTGGCATCCAGCTTCTTCGTGCAAATGACATTCCCGTGCCGTTCCCAAAGCAAAAGCAGCTGACAAATGTTTTCTCTGCCGCCACACGAATTCATACGGACTGGCAGATGCGAGTCAGCGGACAGCTTGTAGAGGTTATGCCTAAATGGATGGAGTACTACAAGAAGGTTCATTTGGATAATCTTAGGGCCATAAAGGGACTCAGTGAGGCGGATTCAACAAGTGCGGTGAAACAGGAGGATGACGATGGGGAAGGGATTGATGTCCTGAAAGAGAAGAGGGTCATCCATGCAATTGGTGATGGCGTTAATGCTGCAGGTAAACAAACTGATAAGGAAAGCAACAGTGATGGCGTGCATGGTTACTTCTCAAGTCATCGCACGGAGAATTTGCTGCGTCTTTCCGCTCTGGAGAGTCAAGTATTGACGGCCGTGCGTCGCAGGATGGTTGCGTGGAATGATGACAGCAACAAGCTATACTACCGCTTCCGGCGGAGGAGGTCAGCCACTGAGGAGCCGAAGGTGGAGGAAACAGACGTGCCGAAGGAACCCACCGAGGAGGAGGAGGAGGAGGATGCAAGGCGCGTGGATGCCGCGGAAGATGTGGTGCTGATGGAAGACGGACGCCGCAGGCGAAGGGCGAAGACACACACGCAGGCAGATGAGGAGGACCCCAAAGTGAATCCTAAAGGGCGTCGGTCAAGGAGGAAAAGGACGATCGCCGCTCCCGTAGACGATGATAGCGGCAGTACATTCACTCTGACCGTGTAGTCACGGCACATGCTGGTGGTGGGGGCACAACATGTTTTTTGTTTTCTTGGGGGCTGAGTCATGCCGGAGGAGTCCCACCGGTGTCGTACCACAAGGGCCAAATGAAGCACGCACACGTACACACACGAAAACAACAACAACAACAACAACAACAACAACAACAACAACAACGGAAGGAAAAAACGCAAACAACACCGCTATTGGCACCATTTTTATTGACACCTGAACCTTTTCTTCTTTTTTTTTCTTCCTGTTGGTGTTTCTTGTCGTTGGCTACATGCACGTAATATACATCCGTACATGCGTGCATCTACTTGGGTAGGACGCGCTGGGTTTATGTGTGTTTTTTTGTTGTTTGTTTCTGTCATTTTATTTTCGGAATCATCTTATCACGTTTTTTAAAATTTCCATTATTTGTGTGTGTGTCTGTGCGTGGAGGAAGTGGCTGTGGGGTTGAGCTACGACCTATTAATTTTGCGTGCATTTTCCTGATGCCCTGCTGTTCTTTTCACACTAGACGTATCCGGTTTATCTCACTTTCTCTTTTTCTTATTTGCTTTTTTTTTGCGTCGCAGAGAGGTGGCTTGCGGGGTGAGTGGTTGTGTGTGTCTTTGGTGGACCGGCAAACTCCGAAACAGACTGGGCAACAAAAAAAAAAAAAAAGGAGTGACGCGGAGGCCAGGAATTAAAAACAAGCAAACAAAAAAAGGGTGAGAAGGAGGCGTAAGTTTTCTGTGAGGGTTTATTGTGTTTTTTTTTTGGTTTGGTGCGGTGCGATGGGTGTTTTTGGGCTGCGCAGGTTCATTGACGCCTCCTCCTGCACGAGATTTCTCCCCGAAACCGCGCAGGATGCGGAGGAGCCCTTAGCCGCCCGTGATCTCGACAAGACGCATGGGGCGGCCGGTAACTCGGCGCTTTCTTCGAGCCCTGCGGCGACGCCACACGCGGATCACGTTCTTGTGGATTTGAACTGCATCATTCACTCCTGTTTCGGCCGTGATGCGGCAACGATGAGGAAGCGGGATGTCGTGCAGGCCGTGCTGGAGAAGCTGCGGGCGTTGCTGACGCTGGTGGTGGTCCCGCGGGTGTCCTTGACGATATGCATCGATGGCCCTGCACCGTACGCGAAACTCCACACGCAACGACTTCGAAGGCGGCGGTTGGCGCTGCTCGACACGGGCAGTGCGCAGCAGTTGACGTCACTTGCCGTGACGCCCGGCTCCCTCTTTCTTGTGGAGTTGGAGAACGCCTTGGCGGCGCAGTTCAAGCTGCGAGGTGGACGCGGATTTCTGCCCCACTTTGTTCCTGTCTTTCTTCACGGCTCCACGGCGGCTGGCGAGGGCGAGGCAAAGATCGCGCGGGCTCTTGCCCACGTTGCCACCGCCTCTCTCTCGCGGGGCGAGCGGTACAACCCGAACCACACGGTTGTTGTGATTGGCAATGACATTGATCTCACCCTGACGTGCCTGGGGGCGACGCAGTACCACAATCTCTTCGTCGTGGGGCCTTCTTCGATGCAGCTCATCAGTGTTTCCGAGATGCTGTACCGGTGGCTGCGTGGCGGGACACAAGGAGCCGGGGAGTTTCGACTAACCGTGCAAGAACTTGCTTCGGTGCGGGTGGACTTTGTGTTTCTTTTTCTTCTTAACGGCGGTGACCACTACGTTGGGGTGGGCGATGTGGCACCTATCTTGTGGAAGCGGTACCGCACTGTGCGAGCGGCGTCGATGCGGCGTTGCCTGGTCGCCCCGGACTTGATGTCCATCGACGTGGATTTTTTATCGGATGTTCTTCAGGCATCCGACTACACCGGCGACTGCGATGCGGGAGTAGGCATGGAGTTGCTTCGCGCCTCGCTGTGGTCGCTCTACACCACCGTTACCGGCGTGTGCCCCGACTACCAGTACATCCCTGCGCCCATGTCTCCCCATCTCAACCACCTCCGTGCGGCGGTACTCCACTGCCTGAAGAATCGCCGCGGCATTCGCATTCAACCCCGTCGTGACGCCCGTGGTCCTCTGGCACCGCTGGAGACATTTGTCGCGCTGATGCCCACAGAGGCGGCGTTACCTTCGAGTGTGGCGCAGGCACTTCGCTCCTCACGCAAGTATGAGACCATAGCGCAGCAGTTGTTCACGAGTAACGATGCCGCAGTGGTGGCAGATGCCGCCAAGCAGGCTGTCGAGGTGGCAGGCGAGTTCCTGACGGTCAGCGAACAGTGTCTGCGGGATTTCACGTCTCCCGTGCAGCTGAATGTCCTGCAGCCACCACGGCGTCTCTCACGACATGAGCAGCATCGCATGCTGGCGTCAAAAGGAAGGATTGAGCGGGAGGAACCACTTCCTCTCGTTGAATGTGTCACGCTGCCGGAATCGTTTGAGTACGTGACAGCCACATACCCTTCGTATGTGAAGGATCTGCTCTTTTCATCGCCATTTTGCCGAGCGGCCGAGACATTGTCGTCAGGCAATCGTGACGTCACGACCACCATGCAGCCGTTTGTGCCTAACACCGCCCGTGAAGCAGGGCGGCGTCAGAAATGCAAGCGTGGCAGCAGTGACGGTGAGGTGCGGCGTATTCCAGTTCACATGCAGTCAAGCGAGGAGCCCTCTGCGGCACGGCAACTGCAAAAGACGCTTGAAAAGGCATCCTCCCTTGTAATGCCGGAGGGGCGTGACAAGAAGACACTGCGGCGACTGAAAAAGAAACTTAACGCCCAGCGTCAGCTGGTTGAGAAGCAGTCGCGCAGCGAGGAGAGCAGCGCTGAGGCGAAGCGGCACATGCTGCGCCAGAATGACAAGGCTTTTCTTGCGGAAATTCAGCGTTTCTTGGGGGAGGAGGACGAAGACGTGAGGCAACTCCTCCGGCACGACGGGGGTGAGGCGCCAGGAAACAATAGGCAGGAGGAGAGGCAAATGAAGAAACAGAAGAGTGTTTCCCGTGCAGGAGACAAAGTGGCATTATTTGGACGCAAGCGCCGCAGAGAGTCGGCGGAAACATTGTCCATGACACGTGCCGATGAGGAAGGAGACCGGCATGAATCGTCCAATGGCGGATGCAAGGCTGCAAAGAGAGGGCGGCGGGAAGTAAGCCACACGGAAAATCATCATCACACGGCTGCTGGCGCTGCTCGTACGTGCGGTAGAGATAAACGCGAGGCGGTGAATGGTAGTCCATCAGAGCAGCCGGCGCTGAAGAAGAAGAATAAGAAGAGGGCGAGCAGGGAAATGGGGGCGACGAGCCTTCATTAATTGATTAATTGCACCTCCAACGTGCGTTTTTTTGCGATTAAGTTTTTATCTCTTTTTTTTTCTCCCCTTGCCCCTCGGTGGGCGAAGGTGCGTCGCCGTGGACATCGCTAGGAACAACTCACAGAGACTTCCTTTTGCTTTTTTTTTTTTTTTGTCACCACGAAAGTTTCTTCGCTTAGAGAGCGTGAGGATCGATGCGGCACAAGGCAGCGCAGTCTTGGAGTGAGTACGGGGGTGCGAGGCACACAGAGGCAAATGGGAGCTCGAAGACTGCCCAAGTCATGTCAACAAAGAAAACGTTCACAACATCTTCTGTGGCAGCACCGGCTGTCGCAACGGCAGGGGCAACCAGCACGCCGCTCTCGTTATTGGAGGACCGCGCAAAGGGGGACGACACCCCGCCTCTGCGTTACCGCACAGTATTGAGATTTTGGAGGACGAAGACGTGATGTCCGAGGACTGGCACTTTTTTTGGATGAATGTGGGGCGCGTGCGCAGCATTTTCTCCACGGCGGAGTACCGCCTGACCGACACGCAGATCATAAATCACTTTCCGAACCACTATGAGCTAACCCGGAAGGACTTGATGTACAAAAACATCAAGAAGTACATTCGAGACCCCAACAACGCACAGCTGATGGTGCGGTATACGCCGCCATGTCGGGCACCGTACGAATGGAGTGAGAAACCATCCGGCTGGCTGCGTTTTGTAGATTGCGTGCCCGTGACGTACAACATTCCGAATGATTTCCAAATGTTCACACAGGAGTTTAGACGGCAGCCGTGTAGCACGTGGATTGTGAAGCCCACATCTCGTTCACAGGGTCGCGGCATCTTTCTCATCAATCGCATCACACAGCTAAAGAGGTGGATTAAAGAGAGGAAGGAGGCGGATGAGGCGGAGGGATTGCCAGCGAGCACGTTTGTTGTCTCCAAGTACGTTGCCAATCCACTTTTGATTGGTGGAAAGAAATTTGATCTGCGTCTCTATGTGCTTGTAACATCTTTTAAGCCACTGGTGGCGTACTTGCATGAGCAGGGCTTTGCCCGCTTTTGTGCCACTCCCTATGTCGCCAACGCTCTCAAGGATGATAATCTCTGCTCACACCTTACGAACGTGGCGTTGCAGAAGGGCGAGGATGCATACAACGAGGTGCATGGCGGGAAGTGGTCTTTAGCGAATTTGTGCCTCTTTGTGCAGGGTCGATACGGGGCGGTGTGCGCGGATGGATTGATGCGGAGCATTGAGTTTACGATTTATCACAGTCTTAGGGCTATGGAGTCTGTGATGTTCAACGACAGGCACTGTTTTGAGCTGTACGGGTATGACATACTCATTGATGACTGCCTGCGACCCCATCTGATTGAAGTGAACTCATCCCCCTCGCTCTCCACCACGACACTGTCGGATCGACTGTTGAAGGAGGAATTACTGGCGGATGTGCTGAGCATCATTTTTCCGCCATCCTTTCCAAGCCCTTGCGCGATGTCATACTGGGAATATCGGCTTCGGACGGATTGACAACGGCGTTACAGACTGGATTTCACT